TGGGGTTGATCTGGCCCAGTTCCCTCTTGCCTCCACTTTTTTTAACAAAGAAAACAGCATTGTACCATCTGAATGAACTTCAAAGTGGCTGGAAGGGGCACTAAGGATTCCTGGCACTTGTCATTGTCTCCTAGATTGGCCAACATTTCCCTTCAGGTCTAATTACTTCCAAATGCTTCCAGCTGCTTTGAAGAAAGTTGGGAGGGAATGAGGGAAGAAAAAGGTAGGAAGACATTTCTGAGTGAAAAGAACAGAAGGTAACTAAAAAAGCAAACAATGTGATATTTAATGTTAAAATAAGATGAAAATTGAATCCATAGAACAGTTCTGCCCCACACCCTCTACTATCATCTCTAATACTTAAAAGTGCCTGCTCTAAAAAATAATTACAAACCAAATTCAGGTTACTATACAAAACAGCCTGTATCAATCACCCTATTCTTACTGAAAGAATGTGGGTCTGTATACTTTTCAGTTAGTCCATCTCTGCATAAGAGCTTAGCGGATATCTTATTTCTGCATCCTGTGTTGGAAGTTTTGTTTCCTTTGAACCAGTCACTCTTGACACAAGAGCTGGTTTTGGTCTTTCATATAATATCCTTTTGTATGCTATACTTTTGTATAGATGGGTAGTTGATACTCTGTGCTACATCTTTACATCCCTTCTATTCAAAGGATTGTACGTATTAGCATGATATATTTGGTTGAACAGTATATGTGGCTTTTTTAAAAATAGAGAATTTTGTTTTAATACTTTGACATGCATTCTGCTTGATGCCAGATTAGATTTACAAGGTAAAATCAGCAAATTAAGAGCCCTAGTTGAAGAGTTTCCTGCTTTTTTGTCCCAGTTTTTCAGTAAAAGGCAATTTTTTAAAAAAACTTATAGATGCAATTTCTCCTGGCCATCAGTTCAACAAGTTTCTGCATCTAATACTGAATACCAGTTCCTCCAGAAGAACTTAATAAATCTGATGCTTACTAATGCAGAATAATCAATTTGCACAGAGGTGCTTCTGTTTCAAAATGTTGGTTTTGAAGCAGGACTATGCTTCTGAAAATTAGCTTAGCTTTAGATTGTTCTCAGCTGGAAACACACATGGATCTTATCACAAATGCATAAATTCTACTGAATGGTAGTTGGGAAAAAAGACATAATTGTCAAAACTTTGTATTTATTAGATTTTTATCCCACTTTTATTACTTTATAAGTAACTCAAGGCAGTGAACATACATATAGTCCTCCTATTTTCCTCACAACAGCTCTGTGAGATGGATTGGTCTGAGAATGACTGACCTAAAGTTACCCAGTCAGCATTTATGCCTAGACTAGAACTCCTGATTTCTAGGCTAGCATCTCCACCACTACATAAAAGTAGTAGTGATTAAGACTGGAGAACAAACTCTGATTAGTAAGATTTATTGGAAAAATTGTTAAAGTAATAGCACAGTAATCCCAGAAAGTACTTTGCTTCCAAATATTGACTCTCTGTAGGCAATTCAAATAACTTGACTTCTTGCTTGCTTTATCTTGCACTTTCAAGAAGTGAAGAGGAAGCACCTCTATTCTGAGAAGGCAGGCTGGCCTGCACCTGTATGTTTACACAATTTATAGCTACCGGATTCTTTGAAAGTGTGAGAATCCTTTCTCACACCTATTCTATACTCCAAATAAAAGCATAGTTTGCTCATCTTATCAAAAATAACTATATGCTCTCATGCCAAACTTTACATTGCTATTTGTAATTTATATAGTTTTTTTTCAGATTCTCAACAATGTTCAGTATCCCTTCCTGCTTTTTTCCAAGTTTATGAGGTAAATTGGGTTATCAATTTACCTCATCACTATTTCTTAGCCAAGATCACTCAATGGCATTTTGTAACAGAAAGTAATCTTAACTTAGTCTTCCTGCTCTCATTTGCAATTCCTAATCACCATATTGCAGAAATAATCATTAGGATAGTGCAGTGTTTGGAATTCATTCCCCCCCCCCAACTGCTTTCAATTAAACGTAGACAGAAAGGTAACACCTGTTTGCAGTTCTTTACAGCAACTATATGGTTTATTATGTGACAGCTACAAAATCCCAAGAAAAGGTACATCTCTGCATTGAAATAATTGCAGATAACTACTTTTGCATTATGATGCAGTTTCTTGGAATAAAATCTGAAACACTGAATTGCCGTAACTGGTCTTGAAACTGATAAAATTGTGGATGCCATCCAGCATTCATGATTGACAAATGCTTCTCAGGCAGAGAATATACGTCCCTCTGTCTTGGGCAGGATCTTCTTGAAGAAATGCTTCTTTAGCACGTAACTAAAAGAGATCACCCACAACGGCTCCCTTTCCAGGTGAAAAAACTTTTGTAATTTTGGAAACTGCAGACAGTTCTCACACAGCAGCCAAGCTGCAAACCAAGGGGGTGGAAAGAAAAATAAAAATACATTCTGTAATCCCTGAATAAAATCAGAATTTGCAAAATGGATTTTCCTAGTAACACATTGGCATAATTCCAAGGATCTTCTATTCCCTAGAGGAAAAGACATGCTAGCTAAGAATGTACTGATTTAGCTTCATTTTCTGTTTGTACAGAGACAATCAAATAATTATTTTATGCAAATTAGCCTTTATATAAGACTTGCATCTAAAGGAGAGCACATTAGAACTACATTGGTATCTGCTAAATCTTTTGTCCTGAATTTTAGAGGCACTGCCTGATTGTAGTAGCCCTATATTTAGCCCTATATTTTTATTTGCTATACCAAATTTTGTATGTAAATTTGTTTAGTGATTATTCAAAATTACAACAGCACTGAAAAAGGTGACTGTTTTGACTGTTATAATTGTTTTTCACACTTACAACCGTTGCAGCATCCCCATGATCATGTAATCAAAATTCGGATGCTTGGGAGCTGGGTTCTTGTTTATGATAGTTGCAATGTTCCTGGGTCACGTAATCCCCTTTTGTGACCTTCTGGCAAACAAAGAAATTGGGGGAAGCCTGTTTCACTTAACCATGTTACTAACTTAGCAACTGCAGTGATTTGCTTAACAACTGTGGCAAGAAAGGTCATAAAATGGAGCAACACTCAGCCAATAAAAATTTTGGACTTGATTGTGATCATAAGTCAAGGACTACCTATACTTTAAAAAAAATAGATCAACTTTTTAATATTGATTCATCTCTCCATGGCTAGAAGGGCCCAATTCTAGTGGGATGCCTGTCTCTCACCCAGGAGGCAGTTAAATTGTTTCTATCTGCTTTTTCTCCTTTTTTTATTCATCAATAAGGCATGCACGTTGTTATTTATCAATAAGGCATGCCGGTTGTGGAGAAAAGAGCAGGTATAGACATCCCCCTGAAAGCAAGGAGGCAACAGCAAAAACAGCATCAAGGCAGGAGGCAGAGCTAAAGATTGTAGGACTGGATGTTTTCAGGGAGAGCTGATTTGAGTTCTCCAGCCTTACCTCTACAGATTCAGTGGTGCCACTACAAAAGCAATTAGAATTTTTTTTTTATGTGTACCACAATTTAGTGAGAGAGCTTGATCCAATTCTTAAAAGTACCAATTCTTTACAGCATGTTCACTGAATAACCCTAAAGATCACATCTAGGTCACATTTAATTTACAGTACTCTTTTTCAACATCCTGCCTGGACTAGAATCAGAATTCATCTTGGAAAAATCCAAACAAGGACACTTTATTAATTCTAGCTGTATACTAGAGAATGATTATATGCTGTAGAATGATTGTAATGAAATAATGGTATGCGTGTGTGTTTCTTGATTAACTTCACCTTGAGTACAGAGCTTCCTGCCTTTGGTAGTATTATAGACTGGATTCAAGTTAAAGGTGTATATGAAGAAACTGTGTTGGCTATTTGCTCTCTAGGGAATACAAAAATCAGACCAAAAGAAAACTTTGAGCAATTTGTTTCAATACATGCAATAATATAGGTGATAATCAAGTTGAGGTTGTTAGACAAATATCTTTTTCAATCAAAGTAAGTTTATAAGATAATAGTAACTAGGACCTCTTGTCAATGCTTTAAGCACTTGATTACTTTTGATTGCAATTATACTTCCTAACTTGATTATATGGGTAAATATAAAGTCAATGTGAAAAACCCTTCTAGAACAGGATCTGGCTTCAGTTGGAGAAATCAACATTCACATCCTCATTCACTCAAAACTTACTGGCTAAATTTAGGCTGGTTGATCATCTACCTCTTAACAGATAATATGGTTAATATAATACTTATATTACACTTATGTCGGAAGCACCTGCTTCTTAAAATAGTTTTGGATACATCAGCATCCCAGCTAATATGTCTCCTTTGTCTTAGGAGTAACTAGTATTAGATATACCAGAAACAATGAGAAGCAATAGTAATTTCTTGTACAAAGCTAATATGTAGAAACGCTCATTGACCACCTTGGTTATTACCATTCTTATTTTAAAGCTGACGTGGGTATCATTAATTACACACACACACACACACACACACACAGTACTGTATATAAATCTGGAATGGTGAGTTTGCCACTCCCAGTCGTTGCTGGATTACAGCTTCAGCATGGCTGATGACCAGACGTAATACTACCTGTAATCCAACATCCACAAGAGCACAGTCCTCATTAGTTACGTCCCCTAAGTCCCACTGAACTTAGTGGAGCTTACTTCTGAGTTCCTTAAGATACAATTACACTTCTTTTAGGCCTGATCTTTCTTTCACAACAGAACCAGATTCATTAGGCTACGCCCTGCCTCCATGTGTAAGGTTTACTATTTCACAGCTTCCCCCCTCCCCTGCTGACAGAGGGGTTGGGCCTTGCATGATGTGGGATCCTCACACATGCTGTTTGTTATTCTGCCCCTTTCTGAAAGTTTTTCTTTCGTCCTACAAAGAAGAGGCGGGGTGGGGAGGCCAAACAACTCTTTGAAGATACTTGACTTTCTATGATTAATTGCAACAAGGAGCCCACACAAGGGAGGGAGGTTATTTTTGATTTATTGACGTTTCTTTGTAAGAACAAATTTATAGCAGAGGGAAAGCAGCTTCTTAGAGGAATATCAAATGGTTAAAAGGTTCCATGCACTCTTTGATGTCATGGCCCTGTGGAATGTGGGAAAGGATTGAAGGACAGGCGCTGTTTATTCATAAAATAAAGATCAGGTACCTGCTGTTGGCACAGATTTGAGGCTAGGCCCCCGTTTAAGAACTTAAGACAGCACTCAGGCCTGGAGGTGACAAGAGCCCTTGATGTGGCCAAGCCTTCCAAGCATACTCACCCTTTCCACACACCTCTAGAAGATGGCACCTGTTTTTCCCATTAGAAAAGTAAAGACATTACCTGACTATGAATGGGAATCATAAGGGCAGGGCGCAACTTCAGATAGCTACCATCTGCTCCAGGAACTGTGTTACAAGAAACTCCCAACAAACCCACAGTTATTTTAGGCAACACTGACAGCCATTAAGCACCCCAAAAGAGACAGAAAACAGAGCTGAGAAGGAAGATAAGTTGTTGAAGTTGTCATTCCAGGAAGTCAGCACATTTTGTAGGAAATTCCATATTACAAGTCTATCAATCATTTTGCTTCTGAGTTCAGCTCAATTTCTTCTTAATAACAGGAATACAGGTTTTTCATTCATCAGGTTTCTAGAAATCCAGAAGCTGTGGAAATTAAGCATTTTAACATAAACAACAGATTTGCCCAAATTAATTAACAAATCTGAGTTCCATTTGCCCAGTTATTACCAGTTAAACATCTCCCTGTAAAAGGAGATTAAGATCCCTTTGCCCATATCCTTATCTTATTAATTATGGAATCTGAGATGTTGTCATACCAACTGTGGCAGGATTTTTTCCACGTGTTCCACTTCCACTCTAGTTACATCCTCAGTCCGAGCTTGCCGTGCTCCTCGTGCTGCTGCTTCTGCAAAAGACACAAATATGGCAAGCAAGTAGATGGGACATTGGGAAAGATGGCAAAAATGGCATGTAGAAAAGGTTTTTCTTAATAGAAAAGGGTACTTATGTTTGCGATGCTTTTTCTTATCACCATTATAAAAACAAAATTATTAGTAAGCAAGCATGTGCTCTCTTTATATGTATACTTGACACATGACTAGACTTGACACATGACTAGATCATAAGAGGCAGAGGGATCCTAAGTAGTAACTCATGAATTAACATTTCTGGGAAAGTTCTGATTTTTATCAGCATGCATACTTATTTAAGCAGTTAATATTAAGATTAGAAATTAATTCTGGGATCGGAATAAAAAAGAGATTTATGAGTGATGCTTCTGTTAAAAACATCAAGGGATGAGTAAAAGGATTGGAACGCAAAATAGGATGTAGAATTGCACAAGAAAATGTTAAGATTCTACAGGCCCTGTCCCACCCCTCTATGACTCAGTCCAGTTTAATTACTCACCTCGAACAAATACTTTAAGCATTTCAGCCATCAACAACGCAGCATCACCACTGGCTGAAAGAGAAGGACAGTTCCTGAGACCATATCCAAGCACCACTTTTTCCCACACACATTCATGCACATGCAACTCCAGAACCTATACGCCACGACTATTTTTCAGTTATTTCTCATGTTCCAGGGCACGGTCTCACCACAGAGACATTGGGAAGATGTCCAGCAGCAGTTGGCCTCTTTGCAGAGGCAGAAGGGAAAGCAATTACCTCGCGTTTTGTCATCTTTGAAGTGGAGCTGGAGCAGTTTGTTCACGGTCTCCTGCACAGAAAGGGACTCGGTCAAGAAGTGTTAATGGAGAAAAAGTGAATCTCTTTATCTTTCCATTTTAAAAGCTACTCAATAAGTAAAGTAATATACTTTAGGTCAGCTTCTGTTGGCATAGGAATACATCAAAAGAAACTGACCAAATATATTACCAGGTTTGGATCTCATTCTCTTGAGAGCAAGAGGGAAACAACTATTGAAGCCTTCATACCTGCACAATAAGAAGGCCCCATCATTCACCCTTCTTCTGGCTGCTTGGGCCAAACTCTAATTACTTAACAGTATATCCTTCATCTATGTCTACCAGCCATCCCACCTGTTTACAATTACTTATTTCAATGAAGACTATACCTTGTTTTTTTATTCTCTACTTCTAGGTTTTCTGGAAATGGAAGAAAACCAATAAAGTACGTTGTCTCCATTATTCTTATCAACAGAGGTGGTTTCTTTTTGGGGGGGGGGGGTAAAGGCATACAAGAGAGGTTTCTTTTTTTCTCAGTAAATAGGAAAATTTTTAGAGGAAAATAGAGCTAAATGTATTAAATGATGTTTAGCTGATTATAGTCAAGTATCACATAACCAATATCTTAATATGCACACCTTAATATGCACACAAGGGAAAAATTCTTGTCGTTTAAAAGCAAAACAACCCTCCTTTATCTTTTTCTGTTCTTACTAGAACAAACAATGCAATTTCAAAAATAATGTGATATATTATTATTCTATAACTCACATTTACGTCTACTGTCATGCTAGTTAAAACTGGTTGCAACCCACTGGTTTGGCTGGGACAACTATTATTTTGTTTGTGATTTTCAAGAGCTAGCTCCCATTAAAGGAGCATTTGTCTCAACTTCAAAACTTTTGGATTTTATGCACTTTGGACAGTGCAAAAACAGAAAAACCTCTATGCACTTAACACAGTAAATCTATAGATGTATCTGCTAGTTAACGAATTCAATGGGATAAGGGGATATAAAAGTATACCTTCCCTGGGTTAACAAATTTCACAGCCATTCCTTTGTGTTAAAAACTCATACCATTTCTGAATTTTAAGCTTAATCAATAAATTATTGATTAATCTAGAAAGTAAGGTCACATGTATCAAACTTGTTTTAGGTTGGGGTTTTTTAAGTGAAACAATAGTATCAAAGTCAGTGCATCAAAACTCAGAAATTCTAGCAATTCTGCATTCCACATTACCTAAAAGTACATAGCAATATAGCAATTTTTGAAAAAAGACACAAAATGTACTAGAAAACAAAAAGTGATGACAAAAATATGATTTCTTTAGAAACTTTATTAATTTGTATTTAATAAGACAAGCTGCATTTTTCTTCCAAAACTGAAGAGTGAAAGGTGAGCCAGAACACTACAGTTTAGTAATTGCAATTCTAGCAACTGAACAAACTGGTAAATGAATCCATGTATGATATATAGCAACCATTTTAAACAGAACTTGATACTGAAAGTTTACATGTGATGGATATGAATTACCCCATTAATTAAGTACTCTTGGTCAGTTTACTACTTAATCAAACCTCACCCCAGAAATTTTAGAAGATCAACACACTGATGGAAATAATTCCATGAATTGGTCTTCTGGGGAAGAAATGGCGAATTGAAGATGAATCTGTGAAAAGCAGGGTGAAAAACCAGCTTTTTGCAATTCCGCTCCAGACAAGAACAGGGTTTCAGAGTGCTCACAATTGCTCCAGAGAGTTGCCCTGTGCAAGTCATTGGTGAGTTTAGAGCTCTGAGAGACGAGGGAATAACCATCTTGATCAAACCAGGACCAGCATCTTTGAAAGGACACTGAATTCATGTACTTTCTTTTTTAATCACCTTTGGAAATTTATTGTTAACAGTTTTTCAGCTGTTAGGAGCCTTTGGAGCAATACATTTACAGACTAAATGAGTTTCCTCCAATCCTTAGTGAAAGAAGTTATTAAGGACAAAAATTAACTAATAAACAGTAAAAGTGATTAAAATTTTGGTTTTAAAAAGTTTCAAATGGCTATGGGTCCAGATAACTTTGAAATAACTTTTTGGAATTAATTCTAAAGAACACTTCTCATGGGAAAATACAATTCTGAATTCTTTAAAAAATGAAAAAGACTAGCATTAGAGGAAAATAGATGCTATGAAGAGGTTTTACCTGAAATGATTGAGACAAATTTGAAAGTGGATTTAAAAATGACAGGCTACAAGAATAACATGGAAAAAGAGGGTACACTGGATATACAAAACATGCTGATGTTTTAATAATTAAAAGGATTATACAAATAACAAACTAACATGGATAACATCTTATGCTAGATTTACAAAAGAGGCATGTTAAAAAAAATTTTGTGGTAAGGGCAAGTATTGAAAAGAAATCAAGTTCTGAGACATTGTTTGAAGGGAGTAAAGATCAAGATTGTTAGAAGTAAACGGAATGATATAAAGTTAGTTTATTTGATCAAGGCTAAAATAGATATCCTTTCTCTGGTAACCCTAAATGGACATCTGCTGACTGAAATGACAAGGTTTTATGAATGTGTTTACAGATAAGAGATAGGATATAGATTTTATAAAAATGGGAAAGAAGAGATCATCTGTTGTATTTTAAAAAGTGATAAATTACTAAAATTGTTTATCCTTGCTGCGAAAAAAGGGAAAGTCATCTTTTACATTTATTTTGTTTTTCTTTACTATATTCTTATTTTTCTTTATTTTTTATATTTTTTCCTATTCTGCATCTTCTATTTTTATTTTTTAATCAGTTAGTTTTTATTGTTGTACATTGTAATCTTTAGTAAAATTACCATTTAAAAAAAGAAATAATTCTGTGAATTATAAAGAGAACGAGTTTATAAGCATGGTAAGAAAAAACTAGACAGAACTGAACAATTAAAAAAGAAGCTCAAATGGACTTATAGCCATTGTTAAATATCTGACAGACAGATGGGAAAAAGGTGTATTTCCAAGCAGACCTAATTTGCTATTCTGCTCACTTTTACTCAGATCACATATTTATGTAATATCATACAAATATACACAATACAAAATACAAAATCTATCAAAGTAATAATTCTTAACAAAGAACTTGCCAACAACTGCCAAGTTTAGAGGGTTTTTTTTTTTTTTTAATTCCTCTCTTGCTCATGTCAGGGAGGAGCTGTATCCTCTTACTTCAAACATTCTATAGCACCATTTCTTCAACTTGATGAAGGTTGGATGTCAGGGAGGGATGAAAGGAATTATTTGTGACAGACAACCTTCATAGGCTTATGCTAATCAGAGTAAATAGGAGGAGCACAGCATTATCTCTCTTTTTTTGGTAGTTTTTCCAGAATTTTCCTTCTATGAAAGGTAATGGAAGAAAAAGAAAGTGCTCAGCCAGCTCTAGAGCTGGGTACTTTTGTGTTCTTATTCATGCAATTGTGCATCAAGTCAGACCATTGGTAAACCAAGTTCAATATTATATATCCTGCCAAGCAAGTTCCTAAGATTTCAGATCTTTTGCAATTGTACTTGCCAACACTTTACTAAGTTGAGAAGTTGTGATTTGTCTCCTAAAACTTTGGACTTGGGCTTAGGCATACATAATGTAAAATTGAGCTATAAAACTGGGCTAATTAAAAATGCATTCAATTAGTCTCTTGAAGTAATTTTTAAAAATACATCTTTTGCACAAAAGAAGCAAGCAATTTGTGTTTTACTGCAACCTTAATAAGAAACAAAATAGGAAACAAATGAAACTCTAGTGCTATCTGCTGTATCAGTCTAGAATTGCGCCAAATAATTTCCTTAATTCAACACCTAACATTCACTTGAAGAATCATTAAATGATACATTTGTGTGTCTTTTAAAATGCATTTTGGGGAAATGATAGTTATTAATATACAGCTTCAGAAGTTGAGTGAAAGGTATTATTCAGTACTGAGATAGCATTTTACTCAAAGTGAATTCAACTTCTATATACATTTCCTGGCCTCTTTTAGCAGTCTGTCCCCACCTTCATTACTTTACTATCCTGCCATTCTATTAGACCAGTGGTTCTCAAGCTTCCTAATGCCGCGACCCCAACCATGTGGTCGTAAGTCGAGGACTACCTGTATTTCCCTGCGGGAGGGGCAGGAGGAGGTATGTATGCTCCGCCTCCTCTCCTGTGGCTACACGTGGGCTGTCCGCCAGCAACCGCCTCGGCCCGGGAGCGCCACACATGCGTGGTGCTGCTCCCTGTGCCGGCCAAGGCATAGCTGGCAAGCGGCAGCGACAGTGCAGGCCGACCACCGGCTGGGCCACCAGCTGGCCCAGCCCAAGGGAGGTAAGGCACCCACCGGACCCCACGCATGCCAGCAACCCTCCCTGCGTCCGCCCCTGCCCACTAGCTTTACCTTGGCCACCGCACGTTAGGTGCGACAGCAGGCAGGCCCAGGCGCTCCTGGGTGGCCATGGCACGCGGCAGCGAGGGCGCAGGGCGACCACCGGCTGGGCCACCAGCTGGCCCAGCCCAAGGGAGGTAAGACACTCTTCAGGCCCCACGTGCACCAGCAACCCTCCCTGTGCCCGCCAGCCTCCCACCTCCCACCACTGACCCTCTTTTACTTACATTTAGTAGTTGCTCAGCAGGGAGGGGTGGAAACATCCAGAAAGCTCACCTTAGCTGCAGACAACTTGCAACACCATTTGCAGACTGGGACTTTTGGCGGGCTCAGCAGGGCAGAGACAGTCTGGACAATTCCTATTGGCTTTTGAAGGCCAATAGAATAGAGTCTCTTGAATAAAGTCTATTCTATTGGCTTTCAAAAGCCAATAGAATAAGAGGGAGTAGCACAGCTAAGGAAAAGGGGAAAAAATGGCGGACTACGTTGTTTGGTGACCCCCGTGAAATGGTCGTTCGACCCCAAATGGGGTTGCAACCCACAGGTTGAGAACCGCTGTATTAGATCTTTTCTAATCCATGGTATTTTATCTTCACTACGTTTTTAAGCAAACTATTATTCTGAGGATTCATGACCCTGGACACTCTTTTTTTAATCACGTTTAAAAATTTTATTTTATGGACAATAGTCCAATTTCAATACTGTGATCATCTCTCTCCGTGAGTTCAAGAGTATACTGTATCCTCTTTTATTAAATCCCAAGTATTATTGATTCAATTTTTCTAATCAAAGTTGTCACCCATTTCGAACATAACAATTTATATCTAATTGCATCTTCATAACCTTGACATGCTCTTATCCATGCCACAAAGATAGTTCCAAGGTACAACGCTCAGTATACAGTTTTGTACTCCTAGCCTAATGACATAACAACTAAAAGCGCCTTTGCCTTCGCGTTATAATGTAAAGCTAGTGCAAATACATCATGATGAATAAGCAGTCCTAGATTATGTCATAATAGCAATATTAATAATAAACATTTATTAAACGGGTCCGTAAATGGTATTAGGGAGGCAAAACAAGAAATCACCTCCGGCGTCCCCATTCCAGGATACCAGAGAAACTCGACTTCATTTTATAGCCCAACTTAATCTATTTCTAGCTTGTATTTTATAGGCGCCGCCAGAGTCTCTGAATTGTCTTTTATCTCCTGGGCATTTCCCCCCAAGTGTCCTAATTTTTGCTTTTCAGCCACAGGGACCTATATTTCTTCTCCACCCACCAACTCGACGAATTCCTATTACACAGAATCCATTCCCAGACTGCCAATGGACTATCCCTGCCTCAGCTCAAGTTGCAGCCTCCGTCCTGCCGGACAGCCGGATCCCCGAGCCTTAAACTCTTCTACTTTTGCAACACTTCTGGTGCTTTACTCGCCCCTGGGATAGCTGCTCTGTATGGTAAGCCTCCGGCCATTCCCACGTTACGTCTCCCGTTACATTCTGGTACGGTCAAAACTTCGAATTGCCACGCCTCTTTTCCTTTCTCACGCATCTTAATCCTAACCCAGAACGTCCAAACTGAACTCTTTTTTTGTTTGCTTGTTTGTTTCCCCACTGTTTTTCTCGGCCTGTTTCCCTAACCTTTTTGAAGCCTCCCGCGCATTCTTCCCTCGCCTCCATTTCACATTGCATCCCTGGTTAGATTCGGCACTAAAACCGTCAGAACGGCGCATGGCATGTTGGGAAATGTAGTTCCTGGAATCCCACCCTCAACCGTTTACTTCCGGAGAAGAAAGCGTCCACCAGACTCTTTTAACAAGAGGCATTCTGGGACGTGTAGTTGATTTTCCTCCGCCCGCCCTTCAGTCTCTGTAGCTGCTGATCTGAAAAGAGGCGGGAGGCTTAAGTTTGAAGTTTCGTTTTAGGAAAGAAAACAAAAGCTGAGCTGGGTTCGGTGCCCGAAAGCATCGAGTCAGGCTCTGAGGATGGAGGAAATAGGGAAAGGAGGGGGAGCGATCAGAATATGAGAGTCTTGATTACAGTAAGTCGTTCAGGAAGGCCATCCTTGCCAACGTGTCCTGCTTAGTGGACGCATTTCTCAGCTTCTCATCGACGCTTGCTTAGCGGTTCCGCTTTCTTAGCCTTTTCGTCATCAGCCCTCATTTTCGGAAAAGTTGTGAGAATGGACTGCGGGTGGTCTTTGCGTCGATCCTATTGAATCATAGTCCTAAACTTTAGTTCTTTGCTTGTGGGACTTACATCCAAGAAAATAGGTGGATTCACATGTGAACAAGGGATGATTTAGAACCGAAATCTATTTCTGTACTCCGTAGGATCTACTAATAGATATAGAACTGTTTGCAACTCAGCTTCGCTGAATTTAGTACTGTAATTTAGCTTAAAAAAGTGGCTTGGGGTTCTGGCTTTTTTTTTTTTTTCTAAAGGCAATTCTGTTAGGACTTGAGTAAAGAAACCTGCTTAGGATCTCAGTTTAAATCTAAAATAATTTAGAAGTGCCTTTCAAGTGGTTCCAAGGCAACAAGTTATGTTTAGTTATTGATGTTTCCTTCCCCCCCATCATTCTTACAGTTCAATTTTTATTTTTTTAATTTTTCCTCTTGTAAGTATTTAAAGAGAGATCAACATGTTTAGAGATTTACTGTAGAAAGTTCACTAAAAACTTTTAGAAAGGATTAAAACTAAATTATTGCTGGGATGTTTTCAAATAAAATGTAGGAGGACTAGTGAGTTATATGCATTAAGTATTTTCAAGCATTTTTAATTCACATTTTAAAAGATTACATTGTATTAATGTTATATCATGTGAAACAAAGTATTTCTAGAAAAAAGTCCACAGACTTCAAAACTGTGACTTATTACATAGTGATTTAAGGACCATTTCAGTTTGAGGTGGGTGAGATACTCTGAAATTTTTTCAGTGTTTGGACTGTGAGAGTAGATTCAGTTTCTGAGTGACAAACACATGTGTCAGTTCATTTACTTTGAACAAATTTAAAATATATAATTATTACTGCCTGGAATACAGAAACATAAAGCGCCTAGTTGTAATTATACATAGTGTGCTACATTACCTTCTCATAGACCACAACACTACAATGGCAACTGGATTCTAAAACAAATGTCTGGGGAGAGGTATCAACTAGGCGCCTTTATGCAAAACTTTGGCTCGATCCCTACATTTTAAATTAAATTAAATTAAAACATAAATTTGTTGACACACAAAGAATAGGCAAAACTTGCCAGATGTCATAAGTTTAGCAGAATGTGCAATCCAGATTTTAACAGTAAAACCCACACACTGAGTTTCAAGGAATCCTGTACAAAATACACACACACACACACACATAGGACTGCACACATGTTTATGGTAATGAGTGGTCTCTTAACTCCACCAGAAGATACAACTTCATAGAATGCAATTGGTATATTTTATCTCAAAACACAGTTGTGCCATAAAACAAGCGCTAAACGTATTATTTGTTTAGTTGGATCGTTTTTATTTTTCTGCCAAAACAGGATCTTAGCATATGTTTTAACTGATATCTTTGCTCTTGATCTTTTTATTGAAGAAATAAACTCCGTATAGTATGAATCACACAGTGAATCTACTGTTTCTCGGTAGAGAGAAAGAAATAATAAAAATGCCTCTGAACTACAGTTCCCAGCATGCACTATTTCCCAGGTAGTAAGATTTAGAAAAGACATTTAACTACAATTCCCAACATGCTTCAGTCTCCTTAGTTACAAAAGTAGGCATTGGCTGTTGAAGGGTGAGGCTTTAGTTCTAGCAACCCTCAGCAAGCTTTTGAAACAGGTTTGATTGTCTCAAGGCTTCTTGTAACAGAGGTACTGGCTGGCTTCAGCATTTGGAGATAGAGGTTCAAATCAGATCATTAAGCAATATGTGTTCTGGCAATAACCTGCGGTTGTTGTTGTCCACCAGGCTACCAGCTGTTGTCTTTTGATCTTGCCATCGGTCTTAACCCCTTATCTACATGGGGGAAATGAGTGATGCCTGCCACAGAGATGGATGTCTTCCGACAGTCTTATACTAGGCTGTGCAAAGAGAGTGGTGCTGAGCCTCAAGAGAGTATCCTGCCACACTTGGAGGAAGCCACAGGAAGAAATCGTTTGGATTTAGCCACACAAAGCCTTTCTGTAGATAGTTGCGGAGTTCTTGGCAAGCTCTTGCAGGATGACCTCCAGTTCACCGAGATCATACTGAACGATTGCATGCTGAGTGAAGAAGGTGGGACCTCCTCTGTCCATAAGGCAATTCTTGATTTCTCTCCTGTCCTGAAAATTTATTGGAGTTCATGGCACCTTCACTTCCATTGCGTTGCTTGCTGTTAACTTCATTTTGTAATCAGACACTGTCTAATTACAAAATTTGCCTAGACGGGTCATCTCTAAAGTGGAAATTAGTCATTAAATTAGGACAAGGACATGTGGTAATATATACCTTCCCAAGAGCAGGAGGAGAGGGAAATGTCTTCAAGAGTATGTTCTCATGATCAGCCAAACTAAATCTATATATTGTTTAATAATATGTCAGTGGGTTCACATGTCACATCAGGCATGAATTCATCCACTGTGTTTTACTCAATAAATCATAGTTAAACAAAACAAGATTCAGTACAATATGTGAATGTGGTTTTTTTTTTAATTGGGAAACTTGCTAACATTTTCAGATGAGTCTTCTTCCTTCTAGGGGCTAAGCTGCTATTACATGGACTTTGTTCCAATACAGTTGTGAAGTTCTTAAATCTGAAGGTGAGTGTGCTGCACCTTAGTCTTAGGGTAGCAAAATGTCTAGGATGCTTTTGCTTTGGGGAATAATAACAGGGTGGACTTAAAATAGTCAGTGGAAAAGCTTTCTGAGGCAAATCATGTAACTGGAGTCTATAGTGTGTGTGCAACCTTAAGAAACCTGTTGGTTTTAGAATAGCAGTTGAAGATAAGTATCTGATCTTTGAATAATTAAATAACAATGTAAAATGCACAAATAGAATAAAAGGTAAAAGAAGAAAGGACTTCTGGTGAATTGTTTTTCAGCTCTTCTGTTTTTAAGCATATTTATATTTCCCAATCCTTACTACTTAATTTGATATTGGAGAATATAATGGCATTATTAAATTTGTTATTGACTATTATCACACACATAAGTGTATGGATGTACACATGCATACATATTTGTGACTCAGATTTTTATCAATTTTCACCATAGTTTCTTTCCAAATCAATACTGGGAAGTTATTGATAAAATTTCCACGCTCCCATTCAAAATGATGTACAATGGTAGAATCGTAAAGATAATGTGGAACCATTAAACATAAAACATGGAAATGGAGATAAATTTATGAATTCTGTGGTGAGAAGTGCAAACTATGCAAGTGAGCATGAATTAACAAGTTGTGTGAAGAAGGGAAAGTCAAGTGTGTTGAATTTTCAGAGTCTTGGTTCTGTTTAAGCCTGGATGTATCCATGTTTTAAGAAATGAAGAGACTAACTAGGTTTGGTTTCTTTTAGGGAAACAACCTGCGAGCTGTTGGGGCTGAGGCTCTGGGAAAGCTCCTCAGGCAAAACAAGACTATCCAGAGGTGAGCAGTCACAGGGATATGGAGGGTCTCTCAAGCTGTGGACAAACAATTGGTTCAGATTGTCAGAGGAGGATTATTATATTTGCATTATGTCTGCTTGGGAGAGGATTCGGGGTTCCCTTTTCGCCTATAACCTATGTCTTCTATGCATCAGCCTCTATTATTGTAATTGTCTCCTTCTTCCCAAGGCTCACTTTGGAGTGGAACAATCTAGGTGTATGGGAAGAAAGCTTCACTATCTTCTGCGAGGGGCTTGGTGCAAACCACCATCTCCAGATGTTGGACCTGCGCAATAATCAAATCAACCATCAGGGAGCAGGAGAACTGGCCATGGCACTGAAAGCCAATTCTAGTCTACAAGAACTCGGTAACGCTGGCCTTTTTAAAAACAGAGGGTGACTCCCATCCCATTTCTTTTGACAACCTAGACCAGGGGTGTCAAACTGCCAGCCCGCGGGCCGGATACGTCATGGCGAAACCGTGCCCACCCTATTGCCAGCAATGGGAAAAAAATTGCAATACGTTGCGACACATCACATGATATGACAAGTTTGACACCCCTGACCTAGACCATTTTACTGGGAAGTAAAGACTGCTAATTGTTTTTTATGCTTGGTTTATTAAGAATTTTGATTATAAGAGTTAAAGCTGATGCAAATTAAATTTAAAGAAAGAAAAAAATTATAAACAGTATGGTATATCTCTTCATCTCATATCCCATCTCTTATCTACAAATAAATCCATAAAACATATTTTTAATCCTGGTGTCAATAGAAAGTCCATAAAAGGTTGCCAAAAATAATAACTTATCTTGTTATAACCTTGATCAAATAAACCAGCTTTATATTCCTTCCTTTTACTTCTAAAAGTTTAGTTCATTCGGATATTGTCATAGGATTTGATTTCTCTTTATTTCTTCTTTGTCTCATTCTTCAAGGTTTTAACAAGCCACTTTTGTTAATCCAGTAGGAAAAAAACAGTTTTTCTTGGTTTATTATGTATATTTCCCTTTTAAATTCATCCAAATTATTTTATAGATCCAGTGAAACATCCTTTTCTTAGTCTTTCTCTTGGCCCGTCAGTTGTAAATCCAATTTCCTCTCTTCTTATCAGATAAAATTTGTTCTAGAACATGTCTGGACAATCTCCTATCCTATCCTTATCTAGAGAGATAACAAGGAACCAGTCTGCTCACTGGTTCCTTGGTTTTTGCCACAGATATCTGCTCTACTTTCACAGAGCCATCTTCAGTTCTCCGTATCTCTGGTGGAAGTCTGGAGATAATTCCTGCTAATTTGAAAATCGCATGAATGATATGTAATCTAGGTGTAGCTTTTTGCTGAATTAGGGCTGATGTTTAGACAATTAATGAAGTATCTCAGCTGGCAGAGATATTGTAGTGCAGTACCTCTATTCAAAAATAAATATTTTTGCACATAGTCTTCCAGGTAAGGGGGGAAAAAACAGAAATGTCCAACTGTAGGCACAACTCGAGAGGCCTGTTCTGTATAATTTGGTACAGAACTATCAAAAGTTAACCCGTGCTGGTGGACTTGCTTCTGCCTTCCTAGCAATGTAATAAATTCCTCAGCACCCTTTGAGAAATTTAGCATTCATTCTGGTAAAAGTCGGCTGGTTTTAACCACTGATGTGCCAATTTGGGAATACAAGACCTTGTATGAATGTTTGCTTCTTGCTTAGATCTGCGGTGGAATAATATTGGACTCTTGGGGGGCCGGGCACTTCTGAACTGTCTTCATAGCAACCGGACAGTACAGCAGCTTGAATTAGCTGGGAACAATGTACCAAGTGATATCCTGAAGGCTGTAGGTAAGCAATTGTGCCAGCTTTCTATTTGATAAAAAATAATTAGATTCAACTCCAGCTACAGATTGTTTTACTGTATTACTCCTGCCTTTATGGCTGTAGGGCTAAGGAATCACCATACAGTGTGAAAACCTAGACTTTTTCAGAATTTTCAGAGATATTTCTAACTCTGGATTTAGAGAGCTACTCTGGAAGTGGGCAGGGAATGGACAACAGCAGTCTAAAGACATTGCTGTTACATCCAGCTTGTGGGCTTTAAAAAATATTGTAATGATAAATTACATATTCTAAGAATGAGTAGGTATTAGATGATTGTATACAGGCATATAATCTTCGGAGCTTGGGGAGGGGTACATTATAAAGGAAATTGATTGTTTTGACAGAGTGGATGGGTTCCAGAGTGATAACTCATTAATCATTGTTAAGAAAGAAAATGCTGCTCTAGGTAGAACCTTTGTCAGATCCAGGTGGTGATTTTTTTCTGCAGGATCATACATAACAACATCTGAATACACCTACAAACCTGTTGAATGAGGGAACAGTTAACTTTGTTTCATGTTTCTTTATGGTTCAGATCAAGCAATGGAACATAACCAAGAGCGTCAGAATATTCTCTCCAAAAATCGTAACATGACAAAAATTCTCAGCAAAGAGGTGATGTGCTTGAAAGAAGAGAAAGCTAAACAGGTTAGTTGATCAAAAGTAATTAACAGTTGTGGCAGGTGATGGAGCTTGAATGTATAGTTTGCTCCACTATGAAAACTAAGTTACTTTAGTGCAGGCATGTCAAACTGCCGGCCTGCGGCCAGATGCATCACGCTGAAACTACACCCACCCCATTGCCGGCAATGGGGAAAAAGTCCCGATATGACACGCGATGTCACATGCCTGCTTTAGTGGCTAAAATCACCCAGAGCCTTGGATTTGTTTTGCCATGGTTTATTGAACAAGGAACAGTTGACTGGGATCACAATCATCAACCCAAATCAAACAAACAACATTATAATTTAGTGTAGTGTGTGAGCCCAGACATTATATTGTGAGATTAAAAGGGGATAAAACTATTTAGAGCACCCTGATGTTCCTAGAAGAAGAAAAAAGAGTAGTTTCTTCCCCTCTGGAACCTAACTTCGGAAACTTTCAGCCGAAATTTATTTTTCACTCAATAAAGTGACTAGCTACTTATAAGCAGAGTAGGTGTGGCTACCAAATGTTTGTACTTTGAAAGGATGCTGTTAATGTTAAATCTGTTTTACAGTTCCTGGATCTAATGGACACCATTGACAAGCAGAGAGAAGAAATAAACCAGAGCAACAGGTAAACATATTGAACCATCATATAGAGCTGAGTACTGTATTGTCATCAAATCTTTTCCTGCTGGATGTCTTCCATCAGCAATTTTGTTTAGATGTTAAAAAGGAGTGGAAAGAGGAGAGATTCTCGAGGCACTCCACAAAGTAGACTTCTCTGAGCAAGTCTCTCCTGTTACCTCTATCAAATGGAATCAATCCAGTGGTGGGATTCAAATACCTGAACAACCGGTTCTATTATGTGATGCAGGCCTGGGCCTCTGATGCCCAGAACGGACTTCCGGAAGTGGTATCCATGCACTTCCAGTGGGCCATTCTAGGCCTGAGAGGCCTCCGAGGCCTAGACTGGACTTCAAGAAGCCAGCTGGTTCTCTGAATTCAGGTAAATTTACTACCAGTTCTCCCAAAATGGTGCGAACTGGCTGAATCCCATCACTGAATCAATCCCTCAGGAAAGAGGAGACTACTGCAAAACAATGCCCCTCCAGTCCAGTAACAGTCCACAAGGACACCATGGTCAATGGAACCAAAAGCCGCTGAGAAGTCAGAGAAGACCAGGTGAGTTGATCCCAGTCTTTGATTTCGCAGCCTGCTATTCTGAGAATTGAAATCCACACATCTTGTAAGTTCCAAGGTTGAGAAACACTGAGTTGAAGGATTTAGCCCTTCTTTCCCTCCTTGGGATACAGACAAGAGATAAAATCAACTTTAAAGATATATCCATATTTATAGGAGTAACAATTTTTTGAATCAGATGTTTTCATCTGAACTTCCGCTTAAAAAATGTCAGCCATCTCTCTAATACTGGGGAGATGCTAAAGCCCCCTGTTCCAGCCATGATTCCTGCTCTTCTTTTTTTTTATGGATAGAAGTCCATATTTTTCCAGCCAAGGTAGGAGCTGGAGAGTAATCAATTTTGTATATACAACAGAGGGCATCCCTTCCTTGTGAAGATGTGAATTGGGAATGCCTGAGTTGTTAGATTGGCAGATTATAAATGTCTTGGTCTGTGGCCTGCACACTCATAACTTCCCCAGATCACATTTATTTAGAATGTTGCATAATTTTCCCAATTTATCCCTGAATCTCTAATTATCATTATTTTTTGGAGCATTATATGCAACCATTAACACCTTATGAATTTCTACTTTCATACACATCCATAACAACTTGTATGGGACCAGTTCACATTTGGGGAAGTTTTATTCCTTTTCTTCATAATTAAATCTGCCCTTTGACTTCCATACATATATATAGACATAGACATCAATAAAAGATAGTATTTGTAGCTCAGGGTTGACCTGTGGGTTCTTAATGCTTTCTGAATTCGGTTGTTTTCTTTCAAGAAAACAACTAAGCTCAGACATCACCAAGAACCCTATAATATAGTCATCAGTTTTACTTCATAAGATCAGACCACGTTTATTCAAATCTTTCCCCTTTGTCTTAATATAACCAGTATATAACTCTCTTTTTTTTTCATTTTATTGCATTGATTAATTCTTCTCTTTTCTACTTGTTCTTCTTATAGTCTAATTCAAAATCTTCCACAAGGTCTGATGTTTCAAGAGGAGCACATAAATACTGACCTCATGATGGCTTTGCTTAATTGAGTCTTTGACACAGCATGTTTTAGGAAAGGGAGACAATATAGACTAGTTCACCAGCCTTAATTTTGCCTGTTCCACATTCAGTTGCCCCCCCCCCCGTAACTTTTGTTTCATTTTTCTCATATTTGAGGCAGTATTTTACAAAAAACCACCAAGGCCATTTCCCCCCAGGTATGCTGATATTATTCTATGCAGCCATTTGGAGACAGTATATTCCATCAATTAGGGAACATAATTTTAATATCCTTCTTCCCATTTCTGTATGCTTTGGGCCTTTCCAACTTCCGTCTAACCATAGCAAACATATGCCATGACCACTTTGGTTATGGCCTCATGACCTTGTCTTCATCTCATCTTCAACCTAGACTCGAGGACAGGCTTCCATAGAAATCTTGATAATGCAATAGAATTTCTCTCCTAAGCAAGCAAGCAAAAAGCTGTGGGAACTTTACTGTGGGTGCTGTCTGGTCTCCTTCAGCAACCATCCTGTCAGTGATGCTATCACACATCCCTAAGTACCTTTTTGCCATTTCTGGGTGGAGCAGATGTGCCTTCTTCTTTCTAGTCCTTAGGCACCATAATAATAATAATAATAACAACAACAACAACAACAACAACACTGAAGTCAAGAAAAAGATTAGAGGTGAATACATCAAGAGAGTGAAGAAGATCTTAAAGTCCAACTCAATGGAGGAAATACCATAAAGGCAATCAACACCTGGGCAATCCCAGTCATTAGGTACACAGCTGGAATAGTGGACTGGACTCAAGCAGAACTAAAAGCAATGGATAGGCAGACCAGAAAAATAATGACAATGAATCATGCCCTTCATCCACGCAGTGACATTGATAGACTTTATCTACCAAGGCAAATAGTGGAATGCTACAAGTACATCAGATGGTTGAAGAAGAAAAAATGGCTTTGGAAGAATATCTGAAGAACAATGATGAAAGATGCACTGAAATTAGTATATTAGGAAGGCTTACTGACTACTGGAGAGACCAAACTGGCCTACAAGAAAGACCAAATGAAGAACAGAATAGAGGCATGGGAAGACAAAGCACTACATGGCCAATACATTAAAAAAATAGCTGGGAAAGCAGATAATAATAAAACCTGGCAATGGCTAAGAGCAGGAAAATTGAAGAAAGAGACCGAGGGACTAATTCTGGCTGCACAAGACCAAGCCTTAAGGACAAATGCATACAAAGTCAAAATTGAGAAGACAGCAACAGACAGTAAGTGCCGCCTATGCAAAGAAGCTGAAGAAACAGTGGACCACTTGGTAAGCTGTTGCAAGAAGATTGCACAGACTGATTACAAGCAGCGGCATGACAAAGTAGCAACAATGGTGCATTGGAAGATCTGCAAAAAATATCATTTGCCTGTAAGCAAAAACTGGTGGATCATAAAATAGAGAAAGTCATAGAAAATGATAAAATTAAACTGCTCTGGGACTTCAGAATTCAAACAGACAAGCACCTGCAACATAACACCCCAGACTTAACAATTGTCGATAAGAAAGACAAAAAAGTCTGGATAGTGGACGTGGCAGTGCCTGGAGACAGCAGAATAGACGAGAAAGAACTGGAGAAGATACAAAATACAAAGACCTACAAATAGAAATAGAAAGACTGTGGCAAAAGCAAGCAAAGGTAGTACCAATAGTAATAGGCTCCTTGGGTGCAATCCCAAAACAACTGGAGCACCACTTGAACACCATTGGCATTGACAAATTTGCTATTAGTCAATTGCAAAAGGCGGCCTTACCAGGAACTGCTTCCATCCTGCAACGATATCTGTAATACCATCAAACATCCACATCTGCCTATCCCAGGTCCTGGGTAAGGACTCGATAGGTAGACAAAATGCCAAATCCAGTCTGAACATCTGGCTGACTGCGATGATCCAAAATAATAATAATTATAATAATATGCTCAGGCAGGGGGTTGGACTAGATTGTCCAGGATTGTTCTGCTTTGACAAGCAGAAAAGTTTGGGTCTTTTAAATTTAAAACAGGCTCTTCCAATTTACTCCAGTTCTGAGCCAGGGCAAATGACCTGAATAACAAGCTGATTAGTGGGGAAAGAGCCCTCAGAAGGGAAACTGGTGAAGAACAGGGGTTTTCTCTTTGCCCCTTCACCACACAACCACCTTTCCCCTCTTAGCTATTCTTTGGCCTGCTATTATGCACAGAATAACAGTGCTGTTCTTCAATTAAAAAACAACAGCCCCAGTGTGAGGGAGATGGCGGTTTTAAAAATTTAGTAAATGAAACAAACAAACAAACAAACAAAACCTGAATAAGAGCTGCTACGTGGATTGCCTGAGGTGTTTCTCTCTTGTTGTATCACTTAACAGCTATTAAGTCAGACTATTTTTAAAGCAAGAGTTTACTGGAGCACCAGTCCAGTGGTGACTGAGACCTAGGCAGGGAAACAGGAGCTTTGCTGCAATGCACAACCCCTCTTCTACACAGCACAGTGAGACTCCCTGAAAGAATTTGAAAAATCACTAAACCTGATTTAAAAATAGCAAGTGACAGGCAGGGCCAAGATGCAATGGGAGAGAGCCCTCCTGCATATCCCTGCATCCTCCCTTCTCCACATTACATATATTTTAGGCCAGGGGTGTCCAACCTTGGCAGCTTTAAGACTTGTGAACTTCAATGGCAGAATGCCCTAGCCAGCCATGCTGACTGGGGAATTCTGGGAGTTGACGTTCACAAGTTGACAAGGTTATCTTGGCATCCATGTCTTAGGCTAAATCGGAATGAATTTTGACAAATGATCAAACCTACCAGTAGACATCTCCCTAACCTTGTCTCCAGCCCCTCTTAGATCCCAAAGAATCATTGGCAAATGTTTTTTCTCTCAGCTGGTGACATTTGATTAGGGAAGGAAGGAAGCCCATGTATAGCAAATAAGGATGCCATTGTTTGGCAGCTACCTGATGGAGACCAATCATCTATACACCAGGATGGTGTTCTGCCAGCTCAGGATGAGGGGAGAGCCCTCTATATAAACCCAAAGGAGCAGTTTTAACCATTACCTGTCTCTTACGTTGCCACAAGGGCTCCTCTCTTGTCAGTTTTCAGCAAAGATTCTACACAATGAATGTTCCCTTATACATGGATATCCCTTTTGCTCTCCTTGCAGGGTATCGGCAGCACGAGTCGGGCGTTTGCAAGAGGCCCTGAATGAGCGCTATTCGATGATGAATTCCCTAAAAGCAAAGTATGGAGAACAGCTTGGCAATGTTGGAGAAAGTAGGCTAATGTTGTTGATGACAGTCCCAACTCAGATTTGATTCCCAATCGGAATGGTCCAGCTGGCATTCCACTTCATGATTCACATGAATGGAAAATTGTGGAACTAGAGGAGGGAACAGGAATAAGTCAGAGAGGACAAAATTCAGTAATTGTTTAAAGGGGAAGTAGAATTATTCACCTTCCTAAATACAAATATACAATAATATACATATGAGGGGGAGCAGGGAGAAATGGGGAATGTACCTATCATTGTAAAAAGGTGTGACAGAATTTAAGACAATGATAAAAAAATGTCAGGCTCCTGTTGTTCTGCATACTGGAGACAGTTTTTCAAATAACAGATTTGACTTGTAGTATGTTTGTTGGAAAATGTGGCTGGCAACACAAGAATTCATGCAATGCTGTGTGGAACAGATATTAACCATTGCATGTACCTACAGATAGTCCTTATATAATTATTCATTTAGCAACCATTCAAATCTACAAGGTACTGAATGAAGAGACTTATGATCTGTAGTCCCTAGTTACAGCCATTGCAGTGCCCTGTCATCCGATTACAATCTGGGTGCTTTGGCAACTATTGCACACTTACAACCATCCCACAATCATGTGTTCACTATTTGCTGTCTTCCCTGCCAACTTCCCCAGTAAGTCAGTATGGGAACTGGTAGGGAAGATCTCAAGCCATTGCTGCCTGACAAGACGACTCCCTCTGGTTTTTGTGGGCTGAAAACATTTGGCCAAAACCCTGCTTAGATTTGGGGACAGATGCAACATGGGGAGTCCTTTTGCGTCTGGAGGCTTCCTGCAAATGCCCCATGGTGCAAATGGTCTGGGCCCAAATCCTACTTAGATTTGGGGTGGGCTTTTTTCGGCCAGCCTCTTTGAGAGCAGAAAGGCTGTCCTTCTTGGGAGTTTTAGCCCCATATGAGACTGAGTCTCTTTTGCAGGCAGCTCTTTTCCTCCATCCATTAAACAAACCAGGAGATCACTTAACAACTGCAGTCAGGAGTCCCAGGATTGCAGTCATTGAGAGAAGCGGTCACATGACATCTTATTTCATGACCGTCTCAATTAATGACCAAAGAGTTCGGTCTCTGGTACATGTATTAGGGAAAGCCGTCAAGGAGTGCAAATTCTGGATCTGCTTTGGTCAATCTGACACTCCAAATCCAGAGGTTGAGGTTTATGGGTAGATTGGGCACTAGATACAAACTTAAGAACTGCTTATCTCCTTTACCATCTAGTTACTCTGAAACAAGTCTTGTTTTGCAGTTCAGGTGCTCTTATTGCTGGGCAGCTAGCTCAGAAAAACTCAAGGCAGCCTTGAAAGTAGCTTTTACTTGAAACTTGCTGCTTTGCAGACTCCAGATGACAGAGGCAGCTTTGGCACTGTCAGAACAGAAGGTGTGCAGCCTGGGAGAAATTTTGAGCATAGCAAAGGAGGAACAAGCAAAACTGGTGGAGAACCACGCCAAGGAGTTTCAACAACACAAGAAGGTAGACCTCTGGGATGATCTGAGGGGCCAGGGAGTGTATATAATCAAGCAAGATATCTGGCACCATCTGAAACAGATGTCTTTGTTTGAAACAAGCCCAATGATAGTGGGGAAAGGGTGTGAAGCTGCTCTGAGGTTTGGATCAAACCAGGAAGGACACTGGAAAAAGGAAGAAGGGCTGACTGATGCATCTCTGCTTTTGCAGAATTCTTCTGATCGTGAGGCAAAGCTTCTGCAGGAACTTTTCACAGCCAATGAGAAAAATATCCAGCTCAAAAATGAGGTAAAAAAATGTTTGAATAGCATTACAGCAGGGTTTCTTAACCTCGACAAACTTGTAGATGTGTGGACTTCATCTCCAGAATTCTCCAGCCACCATGGGAATTGAAGTCAACACATCTTCAAATTTCCAAGGTTGAGACACACTGCATTAAGAGTTATTTAACTAAGATTCTTTCAATTTAGTTTTTGGCTCCTGGATGCAGCCTTGGGCAATAGCAGCTTTGGGCAATTGCTTCATGAGTTACAGGTTGTGGGTTAGGAGCCATAAATGTATAAATGCAGTCAATCTAACACAGTGGTTCTCAACCTGTGGGTCGGGACCCCATTTGGGGTCGAACGACCATTTCACGGGGGTCGCCAAACAAGGCTGTCCGCCATTTTTCCCCCTTTTCTTTGGCCATGCCCCTGGCACCCGGTGATGTATAAGTGGTTGGGGGTCACCACAACATGGGGAACTGTATTATGGGGTCACCGCATTAGAAAGGTTGAGAACCACTGATCTAACACAATGGAACAGTTTGCCCAGGCAGCCTGCTGATCAGGCTGACAGCACCTATTCCATAGACCAGGGGTGTCAAACATTGCGGTTGCTCTCAGGGGGCTAGGTGGTTGTGGCCAGGGTGGGTGCGGCCTACTGGGTGGGCGTGGATGGAGTGGGTGTGGCCTACTGGGTGGGTGTGGCCAGCTCTACATTGTTCGTGTCAAGAGTGCCTGTGGGGGCCTGGGCAGGAGTGGGATAGATCTGAGGGTCTCTGGCAGAAGGGGGTGGGACCAGGGCAAGTGCCAAAGTATGGTCCACTGGAGGAGCCTCACTGTTCCTCTGAGGCCATGCGGGGGGGGGGGCTTATGGAGCTAAGACTGAATGCGTTTTAGCATAGATGGCCACCACAAAATTGTACATTGGCTCCCAGCTGGCCTGGGCCAGGGCCAAGGCCGCGGGGGCTGTTCCCTCACTGTTTCCAAGATGACTTCGCGGGCCACATGAAACCACTTCACGGGCCTTGTGCTTGACATGTCTGCCATAGACATTAATCAGTTGCTAGGTGGGCCACCAGGAAGCCCTTCAGACAGAAGGCTGCCAAGGATTTCTTGTTGCTTGTGAACTACAGGTTGCCTGTTTGTGCTTGACACTCTTTCCCAGCAACCTATTGTAGAGAGATGGGGGCTTGTCTGTCTCTCTCTACTATGAGTGGATTTCCTTCTAGGTGGATGAGCTGGAAAGAAGATGCAAAATCCAGCAAGAGCAACTGTTCCAGGTAAAGGAGGAGCTGACCCACACAACAGCAGAAATGAAACTGAGAGCTGTACAGGCTGAAGGTGAGCGTAACTCACAGGTCTTCAGCTACTGAGTGAAAGAAGAGCTTTGTTGGAGTCCTTTAGAAAGGGAAGAAAGATGAAAGGAGTTGGGGACCTCACTATATTTGTTTTTCCATAGAGCGTTTGGAAAATGAAAAGAAGCGATTCAAGCAGGTCCTGAATGATACAGAATCCCTTCGTTTGAAGGAGGTGAGGAGGCTGTGGGAATTTTAGCATTCCTCCAGGGACGGGGGGGGGGTGGTGGTGTCTGAAGTAGTTCTGACTCAAATGTGCTTTCTGACCTGAAAATAAATTCTACCCATTCTACCCTTGTTTATAAGAGAGGATGCAATTATGGCTTGCCTACAAGAGTCTTGAGCTCTTCCATCCTGGCCCATATGAATAAAGGAGGACCTTTGGGACTGTTGTAAGACTTGGTCAGAATGCCAGGAAGTTGTTTCTTTTCAAGGGTTTCTCCATTACAGAGCCCCCCTCTCTCCCAGCTCCACAGAAGTAATTGCACACTTTCACTATTGCCGCACATCTACAATCCAAGAGTCTTGAGACCAGGGAAGGCACTTATGTTTCCCTTTGATGGATTTCTTTTTTAGGTCAGGGTTTCTGGGAATCAGACTATCCTAAATAACTCTGCCTTCCTTCCTTAGAATAGGATCATCCTTACCCTTCAAAATTCAGGGCTCTGGTTTTTCATTACATATCTGAGGAGGATGGGTGGTTAAGAACTATGATATAGATAGACAGAAGATGTCAGTCCCTTTCTGTGGGTTCATATTACAATTTTATGTTTGGATTCTTTGCTAAGGAGTTGGAAAATGTGCCCCAAGCTTTCTTGAATAAAGAAATTTCGTTTGCTCCAATATTCCTCGAGTGTCTCCTATTTACCGAAGAGAAAGGCTGGTGTCGATCGTTATTTATATGCTGCTAGAGATCCTCTGAACAATGGTGCTTGATATGCAGGTGGGACAGATAACTCAGCATATGGAGACAAGTGAACATGCTCTGCAGGAGCGCATCCAAAGGCTGGAGGCCATCCGCATTGGGCTCGAGGAGGTGAGTGGAAGGGCTTCCCAATATTGTTGGCTTTTTCCTGGAAAACCAACTGAGTCTCGTCCTCAGTGGCTTTGGATTTTCTCTAAGAATATGTGTCCAGATTCAGACCATGGCAGGTCTCTTGATTTGCTTTTACGATCAGAAACTGCAGTGCCTTGTTCTTCTGCCTTGTCCCTAGGAACTGAGCCAAGTGAAAGCTGCCGCCTTCATTGAACGAGGCAAAATTGAGGAAGAAGTCATCAGAGCCAAAAACCAAACCAGGTTGGAAGAGGTAAGGTTGACAGGGCAGCTCAAAAGCAGCATTGCTACATAATTTTATCTGTTAATTCCTTGTTCGTGCCAATGATACATCAGAAAGTAAAATGGAGTAGAGACAGAGATGCAGGACCACCTGAGACAGGTATTTTCTTGCAACTGGCATGCTAAGATTTTCTACTTGGATGAATGTCCATTTGGGGAGAATTTAACATTAAGTTTTCATCTGCATCAAGCAAAAATTTTCACTCTTACTTGGTTTATTCTATCTCACATCAGGGTTATTATTATAAAATAGAATTAAGAGAATGAACTGTGTTTTAAGTCTTCCTTATAAAAGTTGCAGGTGGCAAGGAGCATTTAAAAAGGGAAGCATCCATTCTTTTCTAATATCCTCAGTCTTTTTCAACCTTAGCAACTTTAAAATGTGTAGACTTCAACTCCCAGGATTCCCCAGCCAGCATTTTCCAGTTGAACTCCATTGTTCTAAAAGTTGACAAGATTGAGGAAAAACTAGTCTAGATCAACCTGGGAGTTCTGATTACATCTCAGTATAATTGGAGATACCCAAGTTGATGGATAGTTGAGGATGCTTTCTAATTTAGAGAGGCTTTTTTTTAAAAAAAAATCAATATGTTCAGGTAACAGATTAAAACTCATAATGGAAATAAAATAAAATCTTATTAATAAGATATGTCCAATTCTTACATATCAGCAATAGATTGAAAAAAGATTATTCCTTTCTCTCTTCTTTTGTGGGCAATTAATAGCAACAGCGCCTGGAGCAGATGGAGGAGAAGCTGAGGCTGATGATGCAATCCCGTGACGAGGCACAGAATTACTGCTTGCAGCAGAAGCAAACAGTGGCAGAAGCACACGCTAAGGAAGGCCAGTTGAGTCTGCAGGTGGAAGGTCTCAAGAGGCGACTGGAAGAGCTTCAGCAGGTGAGCGAGTTGAAAAAGTCCCACAGGAAAAATCCTGATATCAGCATTCAACAGTAGTGTAAGGACCTGCCTCAACCCCTCTTCCCAAGAAAGCAGAACTCCTGGAACAGCTTCATTCCAAGAGGAACTTTTATTAGAAGAAGTTGACAGCAGGCATAGAAGGCAGGATGTGAGGGTTTCCCAAGCGAATCAATAGGTTAAAAGAGCAATTGGCAAACCCCACCCCAATAGTCCATCCGGCCAGTTCAAATGGCCCAATTCCCAGATGTGAATCCGCTGTGGGAACAGGGTTGGTAAGGTGCCGTTCCCAAGGCTGTTAGGTCTCTGTGCCTCTTCTTCCGCAGCTAGAGATAAGGCAGATGGTCGGAGGCACATTCCATTCTCACCCCAGACCGGCATCAAGGGAAATAGTTCAAAGAGCAGGCAGATAGAGGAAAGCGGAGAGGATACATTGTAGTGCCCATAGCTCTTCCCTCCCCCCAGAATTATGGCAGAACCTGCAAAAATAAAGAAATTACCCCTCTCCCAACAACCGGGTTCTGACAAGTAGGCTACGTTTCCTTGTGTACATACCTGGGAATCGAGATAGTCCTTGACTTAACGACCGGTCACCTTGCCATTGTTTGAACTTCCAATGGACTTACCTGGAGGGTACTTATCACCTAGATTTGAACTTCCAATGGTCAGGTCTCTTCCCTCCCCCCCCCCCGGTACAGTCATTGGACTGCACTTTGGGCACATGGAAACCAGACCACATTTACAGCTGTTTGCAGCATCCTGGTGACATGTGATAGTTTTGCCAAAAACTGGGAATTTCCTCTGGTTTTTGGCAAAACTGTGCCCATAGCAAGTGGTTAGTTTACTTAAAGGCTGTGGTTGGTTCACTTAACAGCTGCTGCAAAAATGATCATAAGGTCAGTTATGTGACCGATCCATTTTACGACCATCAGGAATTATGACCATGGTGGGCAGACTCCATTATGGTTGTAGCTCAAGGTCTATCTGCAGGTTCTTCTGAATAGACAGAGGGCATGGTTCAAAAAAAAAAACAAACAGTCAAAGTTCAGATCCTCCTATTTACGGATTCCACACTGCTAAGCTAGGGATGGTAGACTGTTTTATAAAACATGTGGGACAAGTAAATTGTCTGGTTAGCGAAGATCATCTTTCGAGTAGTTCTTTTCTGCCTCCAGGAAAGTTCTCCTGTATAATACTTGGTTGTTGCAGGTTGTAAACAATGGCTTATGACTTACGTGTATTGTGAAGTCAATCACTTGCGACTGACAGCACAAACCAGAGTGAAAACTTAGTATAATATATGACCCCTAATATTTGTAGGTTTTATTCTGTTCCTAGAAGCACCTTATCTGAACCAAGAGCTTCTCGTGGTAATGCTGGCTGGGGGTGCATGCAGTTCCTGTTCCTCTTGGCAAAACTTTAAAGAAGATCACTTTTTCTGTTTCATACTCAAATACTCGCAATAACTCTAGTAGTTTCAACATAACTTCATCATTAAAAAATTAAAGAATTCCCTTAAATTGAGACTGACTCCTGGTAGGGCACTTGACCCATCCATGCAGTTTTCTTGGCAATGGCGGAGAGTGGCTTCCTATTGCTACCTTCTCAAATGAGGGGTGGGGAGCGGTATTCCTAGCCTACTCTACAAATTGGGGATTTACTGACAGTATCCCATCCAAGTAACAAGCAGGATCTGAACCTCCTTTGTTTTCCACAACTACCCAAAGTTGCTTAGGTGCTCTACCCTGTTAGGCAGCCTCCCATCACACCCAATTTTATTTGGGAATATACGTATCTCAAGAGTGGTAAAGGGAGCGTGAGACACAGGGCAAGTGCAGGGTTGTTGGGCCAATGGTGAAGGTGTGCGCCGTGTGGCCATTATGACTTTGTCTTACCAACATTTGAAGCACAAGCCGCTGATTACTTTGCCCCCCCCCCATGCTATGAATGGCAGGAGCTGGGTAGTAAGGAACAAGAGAAAGTTTCCGAGGTCAATAAAGTGCGTGTGGAGCTGCAGGAGCAGATGGGTCACCTGGAAGCTGAGAGAACAGCACACGAAGGGCTGCGAGGGAAGATTGCGGCCCTTGAGCGCCAGCTGAAAGGTAACTAGAAAAGCCCTTCTTCCACCAAAGTACCTGCAGCAATTTACGTGATGTGCCATAATATTGCACCAGTAATCAATACCTTACCTAACTGAAGTGTAAGTGAAGCCCCAGATCTGGCGCTATAGCTCAGTACTCAGCTGCAGAGGCCTTCCGGAAAGATATCGGCTGGCATCTGCTTGGCAACCTCAGGGTTCAGTGGCCGTGGTCTAAACAATTGATTTCCTGACATTTTGCCAGCAACTGTGGCTGGCATCTTCAGTAGCGTGGTGGTCAGGCCATAGGCAACTGAGCAAGAACTGACTGGTCTGTGGTCTGTGCAGACCATCTTGACTCTAAAGATATCACTCACTGTTGCTGCTGAACCACAGTCACTAAACCCTGAAGCTCGACACTGCTCAATAATGTTGAAAAACGTTTCTGTTGCCAAGCTAATGGTATCTTAGGAAGAAATCAGCCACAGTTAATGTATCCGGGTTCGATTACTCTTTCATTCTAAATTTAGACAATGACATCATCTAGCTGTTTCAATCTAAAAAATTATGTAACCTCTTGTAGTTCTCTTGAGGCCATGTAAAATGTATTCTGCCTTTAAAGCAGGGGTGTCAAACTCAATTTCATTGAGGGCCGCATCAGCATTGTGGTTGTCCTTGGGGGGGTTGGGTAGGTGTGGCCAGGGTGGGCACGGCCTACTGGGTGGGCATGGCTGGAGTGGGTGTGGCCTACTGGGGGGGCATGGCCAGCTCTACATTGTTTGCGTCAAGGGTGCCTGTGGGTGCCTGGGCAGGAGTAGGACAGATCTGAGGGTCTCTGGCAGAAGGGGATGGGACCAGGGCAAGTGCCAAGGCATGGTCCACGAAAGAGCCTGCCGAAACCCCTCCCCCGGAGCACATCAAGCCGGATATGTGAAGTAGGCGAGGGCCATTTGCTGGCCACTTCCAGGCGATGATGGTACATTTTTTCATTCCTCACAAAGGGTGACACCTCCCCAGTGCGCACCCAGGAGGTGGGACCAACACAGCAGGGGCTGGTTCCTCGCTGTTTCCAGATGGCCTTGTGGAGCTAAGACTGAATGCGTTTCAGCATAGATGGCCACCACAAAATTGTATATTGGCTCCTGGGTGGCCGGGGCCAAGGCAGCGGGGGCCATTCCCTCACTGTTTCCAGGATGGCTTCGCGGGCCACATGAAACCACGTCGCGGGCCGCATCTGGTCCCCGGGCCATGTGTTTCACGTGTCTGCTTTAAAGGATTTCATTATTCTGAGTCAAAAAAAAAGGCTAAATGCATTCATGTTTCATTTTTCTTTTTCTAGTGTTGTCCAGTAACCACCGGGAGGCACTATTGGACAAAGAGGGTGAAATCTCCAGCCTGCTTGAGAAATTACGGGTTCGGGAAGCAGAAATCTCCAGGATAAGGGAGGAGGAAGCTCAGCGGGCCAATTTCCTTCAAAATGCCATCCTGACCTATGTGCAAGGTTCCCCACTTGGCTCTCTCAGCCCCAAGAAGTGAGTAAATTCTGCAATTCATAAGGCCCATCCTCAAGGAAAGGGATCATAAGAGGATCATGGTGGGCCAGGCCAGGTTTTCTTATGTTTCTTGAAGACCCAGGAATCTCCATGGCCAGTTACCTGGAACTAAGTGTGAAGCGTCAATGAAGGACTTGTGTCCGCTTTAGAAACCATCTTAATTTCTGTGCCCAAATCTTGTTCAACCACAACAGCAAGAATAGTCTTCAAGATAAAATCATCTATTCCTATTTGTAACCCACAGATAATGTTCTCCCTCACTGATTTTGGCTTCAAATTTAGATCCAAAATACAGATCATTTCTTGTTGGATTGATGGTTGTTGGAAAAAATAATAATGCTTTGATGTGACCGACTCTTTTAAATGCATCAATCAACAGTAGTGAAAGGAACATTTAAGTCAGCCAATCATGAAGATTTTTCCTATACTCATTTTCCTTTTCTACAAGATCTACAGCATTCCAGATAATCTCAAAAGCACTAATTTAAGTCTAGAGTCATTTGGGGCTGTCCTGATCCAGTAGAACACAGAATTTATTTTCCACGCCTGAGAATATCACTGTTAAGTCTAGTTTTCTAAGGAGCTCTTTTACAGTAACCCTTAGCCATTAGTACCTGATTCCTGTGGACTTAAAGGTGAAACAGTCCAAATAGGGGTGGGGTTGGATTTATCCACAAAGCCTTTTCAGTTTCAGTAAGAAGACACAGTTTCTCTCACTGATGACAACATTCGAAATGTGAGCCAGAGGCTAGAATAACTTCCAACTCATCCTGAGTTAGTTGTAGTTGTCTTGAGAACAAGATGACACACATGGAACAAAGAATGATTTTTGGTTTTTATTTTTGGTTTTATAACTGGTATGAAAAAGAAACATTTGTAATTTTGCCATTATTGGAGGAGGTGGCTTGCATTTATTTCCATATATATTATATGATATGTAATATATATATATAAATGTTTATATTGCTTTGATGGTACACTAAAATGGGTGAATAGGTTTTAAACTGGCAAATGCAGTTCAGTGTACGGACTGTAAATTATACATAACAGAGCAAAACCTCTAAATTTCACATATATCAATGAGACTGCAGCTAACAATGACTGATCAAGAAAGAAGCTTAAATAAGCTTAAATAAAATGGTGTGCAACAAAAAAGAATTCTGTACTAGAAATTATTTTAAAAGGATTGAGAATAAAACTGCCAACATAACTTACAGTGCCTGAACTACTGTGTAAGTTCTACTTAGTTCTGATAGATAAATTTGGAAAAGATGCAAACAAGTTAATTTATTAAAACAAGCTTTTTGGCTTACTTAAAACTTATTTCTTCTTTTAGTTTAGCAAAGGAAGGTAAAGAGAAACAGAACAAAAAAACCCTTTCCAGCACAAAGATTAGGTTATCAAGAATGGGGGGGGGGCTTTGCTTTGGTGTCATACCAAAACTAGGAAGCTGTCATAGTGGAAGACGAGTTACTTTTGACACATACATCCTATGATACGTGTCATTAGTTCTTGACTATGATTTAGTGATTATGCATTCAAAAAGCATGAGGAAACAAGTCCTATTCCAAGTGGCTGCCCTTTTTCCATCTTTCATATAGAAAACAATGTTGGAACGAGATGGGGATTTTCAAAGCAACAGCACCAGGGAAGTTTCTCCCTGGAATTTAGGGATTCTGGCTCAGGATTCTCTTTCCCTTTTCAAACCTTTGTCCACCTGTTTTTGCAGGAAAGTTTAGTGTTCTTTATTCATGTCTTTCTGAAATAATCAGTGCCCTGCAACCCCTCAATGCCTTGGTAGTAATATCATTTGACAGAGTATAAAAGAAATGTTTCTTGTTAGGTTTGCTTTATGGAATGTGAGGCTAAAAGGGAAGGGCAGCGGATCAGTCTTACCATTATTGTACATTCCTATTTTGGCAACCAAGTCGGATCTGCTTTCAGTGGTTTGCTGACTTTGTGGAAGCAAGCTTGACTTTTCAGCCGTGGCACTGGTGATCAAATGTTTGCATCTCCTCTGGAAAGAAGGCCTATTGGATTTAATGGGACCCACTCCCTGAAACATTATACAATGAGCAATTTCTGGACTCAGGAGCCTCATCCCAAGATCCTGGATGGCTGATATTTGATCTCAAAATTTTGGGTAAAGGCAACACATTTTTCCATGGTTTCCAAACAGAAAAATGATTAAACCATCAAATGGCTCCTCCGCTCCCATTTTTTCTTCTAAGCTTCTACTCCCACCCATGCAATTAGAAATGGCTAGGTTGTGTGGCTGCCATGTTCACTCCTTACTGTTTATTATTATTATTATAGCCCATGGCTGCTATATAAAGTAGCAGTTCATTGAGAACTGTAGCTATTTGAAAACTGCAGCTAAAACAAATTATTGGCACTGTGAGCAAACCTAAATTCTACAGAGTATGATAGAAAGTGGAGAAAAGCCATTAAACAAAACACTTTCCCAAACAATACTTGAACAGAAAATTCAAGAACAAAACATAAAAAGTGTTTTTTAAGGAGAGAATCTTTAACTAATTAGGTAATCTTACTTTCTTATATGACTAGATATTTATTTTCATTTTACTGGAATGAAATTAAACTCGAGAGATGGAACTCTTTTTCAGTAGGGAGAAGAAGCATAAAGAACTTTAGCATGGTGTTCTAATCTTCTTAAAGGTTTAATACTTGTGAATTTGTTCAGGGTTAGACTGCAAAAATAAACACATCCAGAAATCCATTAAAACCCAACAGTTGCTAAGAAAGGAATTTGCTCTAGTTACATTTTATGTAGTTATTTTGTTATCTGTGGAGTCTGTATGAATGTTATCTACACAAGTCAGCAACAGTGTAAGCTTGTAAGAAAAAAGGAATTATACATTGTCAATAAGTTTATAGACTTGGATTAATCAGAAAATATGTGCCACTCCTATTTCATTCACACAATGCTTTAAAGCATAAAGAAGTTAAACCTAGTATGACATCTGGATTTATATGATCTTAAGAGAAACTAGAATATATATTAAATCTAACCAAGAAATTGTGCTTAAGGAAGAGCACCTTAATCATAAATTACCATCATGATTTACTATCAGTTTGTTTAAACTACAATCTGTAGTGTTATCTAAACTTAGTTAAACTGATAAGAACAGATACTACACTTGATCTTAGCCAAAAGGCCGAGAAGCAATGCACAAACCGGCTGCAGACATCCACCCCATGCCAGCATCTCCATTTGCACTCGCCCACATGTGCAAACAGGCCGCAGGCATTAGCGTGAGTGGGTAGAATGCACGCCCACACGTGCGCGCACCAGCCAGCCATTTCTGCAGCCCACTGGCTAGTTGGGGACCCCTGCTGTAAAGCACTGTGAAATGATATATAGGTACTATTGCTATTACTATAATTTAAGATTCATCATTATCATCATCATCTTTTTCCTGCAAGTGCTTTTCAGGTCAACAAGCACCATCTTACATGAGCAAATGCAGCATCTGTGTCCACTTGGCATTTTTCATGTCCACATTTATTCTGTCTTGCTATCTTTGCTTTGGCCTTCCACATGGGCACTTGCCATCTATATTAAAGTGGAAGGCAATGTAGGTAGCTGGGGTGCTTCTCATAAAACAGGGCCATACCACTGTAAGCATTTCTACATAATTTAACACATAATTTAAGATTGATTGAAATTTTTGCTATTGAGTTAATCCCTTTTCTAGGGTTGAGTAGAAATATCTATTTATAAAATAATTAATTTCATAGAGAATTTTCAATAAGGGAAAATCATCCAAAATTTGTCCTGCCAATGGTTTTATAGTATTTTGCAGGAGAGCATCAAATTGTGCTGCTTTAAAATTATTCAGCTGTAAAATCACATTTTTAATTTCATAAGTAGTCAAAGTAGCTACACTTGTTGGTGTAAAAAATCTAATTGTGGAAAATGAACGAATGAAAACAAAAGCCAAAATATCTTCAAGAGATCTATTCTCAGGGCTAAAGGTTGCCTTCCGTGAACTACATAATTTCTCTTCCTCATTTTTAATATCTGTAATAATCTACTCATCTTTTTTCTTCCTCAAACTATTTGCCAAGATCTAAAAAGCTATTTTCCCAAGACATTTGATACAAATATGTAAAGTAAACTCAGTTTTTCGTGAGTTGTCTTTGAGCCAAATACCTGAAAAACATCTTGTGACGTACTGAGTTTATTGCATATGGATTTGCTGCATTTTTCTGTTTAAACTATTGGTAGGAACTCTAGACATCTAGATACAAAGGGTTTTTAATTATTTTTCATACTGGTCTCATGAATTTTTTTTCTTATATAATATAATGTAATATGTGCTTCCTATTAAAAAACAAAACCAAGGAATGAGCTGTATCTGCATTTTATTTAAAGTATTGTTATATCTCAGAATTAATTTGTTTTATAAATTCAACTTCACTCAAAGCAAGATCCATATGGTTTATTACATCATTAGTTGAAATTAGTTTAAATTGAACTATTGTTGTTATGAGCCATCCAGAGCTGCTTAAAAGATGTGTGGCTATGTAAGTGTTTGAAATAAATACTCCTACAATGTTTAATCTATTGATCGAGGAGAGTGAATCTAAAATAGTTTTCTGAATTAAAAAGTAGATCTCTTTTATTTGAGACATAGCAGTATCTAAAAATCAGTCAGATTTTAACTCCTCCTTGTAGTTCTTGAATTGTAATTTTGATTCCTGAAGGGCTGGATTTTCTTTAGGTCTAACATCTCATTAAAAATTCCTCCATAATAATATACTCATATGGTATATTTACTGAATTATAAAAATGTTCATGAAATATAGGGTTAATCTGTAACACCCTTTTTGGCCAATAAAAAGACAGGTGGCAGGAACAGCTGCCAAACTGAGTCACTCCAGCTGTTGCATTTCTGCTGCTACTGCTTCTAATTAACTTCCTACCCCACATGTATGCAAGAGCTGGAAGAGAAACTCGAAATGTGTGAGGGACAGACTTAATTTTAGACATTAATGTCTTGACTAGCTGTGATCCTGACTTAGGCACTAGGATTTTTAATTATTTTGTTTTTTTCCCCACCAACCAAATATATGTATTTATATAGATCGCCAACATGATAGCCAATGTCCGATAATGGATATGCACAAAAAGAAGATATAGAAATGATTGTACAATAGTATGAAGTTTTAAAAACAAGCATATAAAAATGTAAAACAAAAACTAAGTAACAAGCCAACAATGTTAAGTCCAGTGAGGACAAAAAGTATTTGATCCCCTTCTAATTTTGTATGCTTTGTTTTTGTTGTTGTTAATTGCAAAATCATGTCCGACCCATCGCGACCCCATGGACAACATTCCTTCAGGTCTTCCTGTCCTCTACCATCTTCTGGAGTCCATTTAAGTTCACACTCCATCCAGCCACCTCATTCTCTGTCGTCCCCTTCTTCTATTGCCCTCAATCTTTCCCAGCATTAGGCCCTTCTCCGGTGAGTCCTTCCTTCTCATTAGGTGGCCAAAGTATTTGAGTTTCAACTTCAGGATCTGGCCTTCTAAAGAACAGTTGGGGTTGATCTCTTCTAGGACTGACCGGTTTGAATGCCTTGCAGTCCAAGGGACTCGCAGGAGTCTTCTCCAGCACCATAGTTCAAAGGCCTCAATTCTTTGTCACATCCATACATTGCAACTAGGAATACCATGGCCTTGACTATACACACTTTTGTTGGCAGGGTGACATCTCTGCTTTTTAGTATGCTGTCTAGATTTGCCATAGCTTTCTTCCCCAGGAGCAAACGTATTTTAATTTCTTGGCTACAGTCCCTATCTGAGGTGATCTTGGAACCCAGAAAAATAAAATCTGTCAGTACCTCCATTTCTTCCCCATCTATTTGCCAGGAATTGAAAGGGCCAGATGCCATGATTTTGGTTTTCTAAATGTTGAGTTTCAAGCCAACTTTTGTACTCTCCTTCTTCACCCGCATCAAGAGGCTCTTTAGTTCCTCTTCACTTTCTCCCATTAGAGTGGTATCATCTGCATATCTCACGTTGTTATTTCTCCCGGCAATCTTAATTCCAACTTTTGATTCATCTAGTCCTGCCTTTCTCATGATGTGCTCTGCATACAAGTTAAATAGGCAGGGCGATAGTATATAGCTCCTTTTCCAATTTTGAACCAATCAGTGGTTCCGTGTCCAGTTCTCACTGTTGCTTCTTGACCCATATATAGGTTTCTCAAGAGACAAATAAGATGGTCTGGCATTCCCATCTCTTTAAGAACTTGCCACAATTTGTTGTGATCCACACAAACAAAGGCTTTAGCATAGTCAATGAAGCAGAAGTAGATGTTTTTCTGGAACTCCCTATCTTTCTCCATGATCCAGCATATGTTGGCAATGTGATCTCTAGTTCCTCTGCCTCTTCGAAATCCTTGCTTGCCCACTGACAAAGAAATGATCAGTCTAATTTTAAAGGTAGGTTTATTTTAATAGTGAGAGAAAAAATAACAACAACAAAATCCAGCAAAACGCATTTCAAAAAAGTTATAAATTGATTTGCATTTTAATGAGTGAAATAAGTATTGATTCCCTATCAATCAGCAAGATTTCTGGTTTGCTACTGTAAAGACGCTAAGAAAAAGACTCAGGCATGTCTTTTTTTTTTTTTTTTTTTTTTTTTTTTTTTTTATTAAAATTTTTATAAATTTTACAAAAAAAAACAAGAACAATACAGAACAAAAAACAACATATACAAAAGAAAAAAAAATTAAACAATACATATAAAAAAAACCCCCACCCCACACCCCTCCCAAAAACCCTCCCTTCCCCCCCCCTGAGCTTCCCAGAGCAGAATATAGGCTTAAGAAAAAAAAAAAAAATAAAAAAATAAAAATTAAATTAAAAACTTTATATTTATATATATAAAAAAGATATCTATAATATATATAAAAATAAAACTTATGAAAAAGCTATATAATATTTTTGTATACCCAATCTAAATTGTATAAATTTTATCCATTTGTCCCAGATAGCAAAAAACTTCTCTTGCGTTTGTTGCTTTAAGAAAGCCGAAATCTTTGCCATTTCTGCCAGATAAGCTACTTTAAAAAACCATTCCTGCAATGTAGGCAAAGATTCCTTCTTCCAATATTGTCCAATTAACAGCCTCGCGGCTGTGATCAAGTTTAACATCAATACAACCTCCTTTGTATCACAATCTGTAACAATACCTAACAAAAATAATTGCGGAGTAAATTTTACCCTCCTTCTAAAAATTCTCTGGATATTCCACCATATTTTGATCCAAAATGCTTTTATCTCTCTACATGACCACCAAATATGATAATAGGAAGCCTCCTTATAACCACATCTCCAACATTTAGGTTGCACGTCAGGGTACATGTAAGACATTTTTTGTGGATCAAGGTGCCATCTATAAAACATTTTATAAAAATTCTCCCTTAGATTCTGTGCTTGAGTAAATTTGACATTTCTCACCCAAATAGTTTCCCAGGTGTCCAATGAAACTGGCTCACCAAAGTTCTGCGCCCATCTAATCATACAATCTTTAATTAGTTCCGTTTCTGAGTCCAATTCAACTAAAACCCCATAAATTCTCTTAATGTGGGTTTGTCTTTGATCCTTCAGTTGCTTAATAAGATTTTCATCTTCTCTAAGAAAACCCACCTTACAATCCATCTTCCATCTATCTAGTAGTTGCCTATATTGGAACCAAGAATAAGTAAAATTTTCTTGTGCTAATTCTTCCCGTGATTTTAATTGCCAGTTTTGTCCATCCCATTTAAGTAACTGTCTGTAAGACACCATATCCATTTTAACCCCTCTTTTTATTCCTTCTATCGCATGCCAAGGTATAGCCCATAATGGTACTTTAAAATCACTTTTATAATATTTTCTCCAAATCCTAAGTAAAGAAATTCTTAAAATATGAGATTTAAAAGCCCAATCTATTTTTTTATTAAATATTAAATAGGCATGCCACCCATAAAGTAAATCCCATCCCTCTAGATAAAGTATCTCAGAATTTGTCAAATTTACCCAGTCACTAATTAATGTTAAAACCACCGCATCATAATATAATTTCAAATTTGGTACCTTGAGTCCGCCCCTCTCACGGAAGTCTTGCATAATTTTGAACTTAACCCTTGGTTTTTTCCCTGCCCAAATAAATTTATTGAGACCCTTCTGCCACTCATTTAAATTAATCTCATTTTTCAAAATTGGTAACATTTGAAACAAAAAAAGAAACTTGGGTAGAATATTCATTTTTATCACTGCAATTCTTCCCATGAGGGATAATTGCAGCTTTTCCCAATTCTTCAAGTCTTTCTGTACCCCGACCCACAACCTTTCATAATTATTTTTAAATAGTTTTGCATTAGAAACAGACAGCATCACCCCCAAATATTTTACCTTATTAACAATCTCAAAACCCGTCGAGTTAACCAAAATCTGCTTCTCCTGACTCGACAAATTTTTAGGTAAAATTTTAGTCTTATTTACATTAATCTTAAAACCCGAGACCAAACCATAATGGTGAATCAACTGTAATAAGTTTACTACAGAATAATCAGGTTGCGACAAAGTAACAACCAAGTCATCCGCAAAAGCTCTCAACTTATATTCTTTTTTATTAACATATATTCCTTTAATTTCCTGAGACTCTCGAATTTTAATCAATAATATTTCCAATGTTAAAACAAACAACAATGGCGATAAAGGACACCCCTGTCTAGTACCTTTCTCTATTGTGAAAACCTCCGACAAACCTCCATTAACAATAAGTTGTGCTGTTGTTTTTGATATATTACCTTAAGGGCTTGTAATATGTTTTCACCAAAATTCATTTCTTCCATTACTCTTAGCATAAAATGCCAATTCAGTTGGTCAAATGCTTTTTCAGCATCTAAAAATATGAGCCCTGCAGGAACTTGGTTGTTCTTATCTAAGTATTCTAATAAGTTAATAATTTGTCTAACATTGTTTTTCATATACCTTCCTGTTATAAACCCTGATTGATCTTTATGCACAAGATGATGCACCACCCTCATAAGCCTATTTACCAAAATTTTTACAAATATCTTATAATCCACGTTTAAAAGAGATATAGGCCTATAGTTTTTTGGTAAAGTAAGATCTTGATCCTCCTTTGGAATCAATGATATAAAAGCACTACGCCATGAAGGAGGAATCTCTAAACCCTGTAAGATACCATTAAAAAGATCATTTAATGGTTGAATCATCTCCTCCATTAAAGCTTTATAATAAACAGCTGTTAACCCATCCGTACCCGGTGCTTTCCCTAATTTCAATTGTTGAATTGCTGAGGCGATTTCCTCCTTAGTAATTAAA